TACAAAAATATCAATAAATGGCCTGTTATCCATGTCTAGCCCCCCCCCCCCAGTTTCTGGCTGTTTCCATCTTTTGCATCCTAGTTATCAAATGACTCAAATGGTGGAAACCTCAAGTGAGACAGATTTGAAGTCGTCTTAGTGTCACTGCCCACTGGAATAAAGACATCACCAGGAGAGGCTTTCTGGAATCCAGAAAAGAAATGTGAAGTTCAGAGACAGACTGTCTTTATCAATAATTCTACAAATGAAGATGTTATACTCCAACACTGTACACATTACAAAAAAAAACTGGGGCAGGGGGAGGCATAAGACATACCTCTCTACAAGCAATTCTCTGCTAGAAGGACATATGGTTTAATTAAATGATGCTTCTCAATTTTTATAAATGTCTAATCACTTGCCTCTAGAACATCAGGAAACCTTTGCCACATAAGCCTCTGAAAGGACTATCTAAAGTCTTGATACATTACAGTCAAAATATTCATACATCCATGAAAAGTAATCCAGACAGTTGTACTACATCTTTTCAGCCAGAGCAACAATCAGATTTACTCTTAAGTGGCCATGGCATATACTGGGTTCAAAAGGTTAGACTTCACTGTCTCCCGGCTGGATTCAGCACTCCACTCGGATACTATTTTTACCTCCTCAAGTTTCCTGGATGAGAAGTCCTTACGGTCTTCAGTTAGTCATGCCCCATGTTCTCCTAACCCTCCAAGGCTGGAAGAATGACAGAGATTGACATCATGATGAGTTTCTGAGGCTGGGATCTTGTTTTTATCAATGAGGACATAGTCACTCTTGCATGACTCACCCTAAACCACCTCTTCCCTTTGATGGCAGAGTCCAGAAGGCAGGGTAATTGTTTGGGAGTTACTGGCACAGGAAGTAGGAGGGTTGTGAGTTGTTTTGAGATGATCATTTAAAATTCATTGTCCATGTAATTAAAACAGCTTTCTATTTGCCTAAATTAATTGGTTAAAATTAAAAATTGTCAAGTCTCTTACCACTCATGCTAAGGACTCTCTATTTTCTGTATCTTAGAAAGTTTCATATTAAATTTCACTGAAAGCCACAAGATACGGGCCCCATCTATTCATTTACCGGTCACCCAGAGGTGATAAGAATGGAATGCAATTATTCTCATCACTCAAGCTCCCTGAGTGAACCTCAAAATGTCAGCAGTCTCCTCTATCCCCACTTTCAATCACCAAATTTCTCTCATGTTAAACACCATAGTACGACATCACAGTAGTCCATATTTTTTACTCTATATTACTATATATATTTCTGTTGTGTGGTACTTCTTTTGTTCTCTCTAAAAGAAGAACATCAGAATGTTGAAGGTTTACATAGCATCTGGTTACTATATAATTTTGTTTTACTAGATGAAAAAAATTAATAAGCATTGTAAATATAAAATTCACACCTGAAGGGGTGTCAGGATGCAGTTTTGTTGACAGAACAAAGCCCATATGTTACAGCCCCCACAGCCTACTGGGTTTTTTTTTTTATGCCTTTATGTTGCTGAGAGTCAAGTGAGACTTATCAATGTTAGATAATTTGGTAATTACAGCAGGATAAATCTTAGCTCTGTAGCCTCTATCAAGTCCATGGGAACTCAGAGAAATAACAATCGGTACCTTGGCTCAGCTACCAAGAGCTGACCTTTGAGCCGTGGAATGTGACCTTCTAACAGATGAGATCGATGCAGATCACTGAATCAGAGTGAGGGAGCATTTGAATCAGTAGACTACAGAATCATCAGCAGGCTATAGAGTCATCAGAACTTTTAAACTGCAGACCACAGAAGAGAAGCACAATAGTGTCAGAATTCACTTTGAGTAAAGGAATAACCCTATACTGAGATCATTTGTCAGTCCCACATTTATAGCAGCTATTGAACAAATGAGTCTCTCCCCTTTCTCTTCACATCCAAGGAAAGAAAACAAACAAAACAAAAACAAAGAAAACCCATTAAAGTTTAAGCAGCAGTAGAAAACTAGGAATAGCACCAACTAAAGAATATCCAAAGAGGGAACCACAAGGAACAGAGCATAGCCCATATCAAAACATGTTAATTGCTCTCATTAGAGCTGCACATTAGTTTAATATTAGAGCTTCAGGAGCATCGTGGGTAAGAACAGCTAGCACATCCATGGTCCCTATACTTGCCTGTGTGCTCAAGAGCAGATCCAGAGGTGTGCGGGGAGAGGGGAGATGAGAGACGAAAGCAGTGCCCTCAATAGGTCACTACATTAACAGTCATCTACAGCCCAAAGCTCCTCAGCTATAGGCGAGATTTCATGAGACCCTCCTCTGCCACACTGAAATTTTACCTGGTTGGTCTTGTGTGAGTCTTGTGCATGCAAGTCACAGACCTGTACTGTGTATAAAAAACCTGTATGTCCAGCAAATGGTGTTTGACTGGCAACATCTGTTACTGTCTCTGGCTAAGACAATCTTTCTGTCCTTTCTTTCATAAGGATTCCTGTCATAGATCATGGAAGAGTAAATTTTCTTCATGGTTGTGGCCTCTGACAGGTTGCCAATGCCAAGTGATGGACCTACATCAATGTACATACAGGCAATGCTAAGTGGGTTTTGAGAAGGGAGGAAGCGAGAGAGGAAAGGAGGGAGAGAGAGAGGGAGGGAAGGAGAAACGGAGGTCGACATTGGAATAAAAAGTCGGGTGGGTTTGACCAAAACATACTATATTCGAGTATAAACTTACCAATGTAAAAATAAAAACCTACAAAAGAAGAATCCCCTGATGATACACAGAAGGCAAGTTTGTACCTACCCAAGAATTCCAGTGCACACACACCTCTCCATCAACCTCCCTCTTGACATACTTGATTCTCTTCTGAGCTGGAGTGCCTGGTCCTGCCCTCAGAGTACCACATATATCTACTTCATTCATTCCCTGATATCAATGAATAAATCAAACCCCCATTTTTAATGTGTTAATTTTATGTCAAAACAATCCGTTTAAGAAATAAAAGAGCTAAAGAGTAAATGAGCTAAAAGAGTAAGCTGTGTTCAATTAATTGATCCAAATGAATAATTTGGATTACAAAATAAAATGAGTGCAATAGTACAAAGCTTGGGGATGAGGGTGTTTGTGTGTGTGTGTGTGTGTGTGTGTGTGTGTCTGTGTGTGTATCAAGTGAAAGTGAAACCTGGCTTAGTTTCTCCTGGTTTCTTTATAAACTTCAAAGTTATTAATCCCATCTACAGACTTAGGTCATCATTAAAATCCTTCCAAACTGATAAACTATGATTCTAATTCAAGCATAATTGTTGGGCTTTTTACTTCTAGTTAGATACAAACCACCCCTGGTTTTCACAGAGGAAAAATGAACTGTTTTGAAATTCTGGGAGATCACTTTGAGCCTAGACTGTTCCTGATCCACACACATCCTCAGTCTGTCGGTTGTGTTTTTCACAAGGAGCACCTGGGTTGTTTGGGGGGGTGTAGATTACAAGCGATGGTCATGAGCTTTAGCATTCTGTTCTGATACTAAAATACCTATAAGGAAGAATAATATCTTTTCTGGAGCTTTAAAACCCAATTTGATGTCCATCTTAGGATACTGTCAAGAGTCACAGAACAAGATTATCTGGCAATCCAGGCTGGAACTGTTTCCCACCATCTTTTCGTTTAGCCTTATGTGTTAGCTATCAGGTTAAGCGCTATGGTATCAGCCCTCTCCATGTCTGCAAAGAAGAGGATCCATCTTTGTAATGGTTTGTAAATAGATAGAAAAAAAATAAAACAGAGACAAATGACTCATTTACTTTTGCCCTTCTTCATAGGTTTAAATTTCAAGTAGTTAGTAACTTGGTGATCTGAGACAGAGATTATGGAGCTGAAAGGGAATTGGTGGAAATGAGAAGGAAAGACGCAGAAGGGTGTATACTGTCCCTAACAGTCTCCCACTGCACACACGATTGCTGTCTCAAGCCCTAGCCCACTCCTGCCCACAGACAGCACGCTAAGATCTCTGCTTGGGTCTTTACCCTGAGTCATGAAGCGCTAAGCCTGGAAATTAGTTTAGAGGTGAGCCAAAGGTCTTCTTGAGGAATAGTCACTTCACAGTGAAGGAGGACATTTGCAATCACACAAAGATGATAGACACATCTAACTCTTTCCTTTATGCTGTGCCCAGATGAATTTCCTCTACTATGGGAGACAGCGTTTTGTGACACACATCTTCTCACCCACTGCACTGCCAATAACAAGGCTACCAGAACTGAAGGAACCCTCTCATGTCTTCCCTGCTTCTTGTAGACTGCATGGGTTTCATTCTTCACCCTGTTTACACATTCCTCCAACTGGTTTTTCCTTTGTCAACCCCTTTGCCCACCAAAAAAAAAAAAAAAAAAAAAAAAAAAACCCAACTTTTTAAAAACTGAACTAGTCATGAGACAGCTCATCTTTGGGGGAAAATTCAAATGACATGATGATGCATAAAATCTAAACTTGTACACCACATCCGAGGTGGGGATACTCTCTGTGAGAAAAGTGATGAACCTTTATGAGGTGGAAAAATGAAACCGAGCAGGAGGGGCTTGGTTGGATCAGAGCTGGGTTATCTCCTGAGTCCACAAAATCACACACAAATTTCCTGTTCTCATTGCTCACCTATGGGAGGAGAAGTTAATGACTATGCTTGACAATGTAACGTGTAACTAGGCTTTTGCATTACCTAAAAGAAGTCATTGTGATGACTTTTACATTTGTCATTTACATTTTGAAAGAAAAATCATATGCAGTTTATGGTTTCCAAAGTACATGTCCAAAGGAGGAAAGGAAACCAAATTGCATCCCTAACTTACTAAATAAATAAATAAATAACAAAAAAAAAACCACTAAATCAACAAACACAGGAACAGTAGCAACAGCAACAACAAAAGAGCCCCACTGTGTTAACATTGCAGTAAACTGAACAGGCAAAGTCAAAGTTCACTGCCAGACTAAAGTCCCTTCCACCCCTCTGTTCTGGCGACATTATGCAAGTCAACAAGAAAATCCAGTGGAAGCTCTGAAGAAAGGGCAGTTTCCTACCAAAGCAGAAGTATCTGAACTGATGTCCTTAAGCCTTGCAGGTGAGACTCAGCACTATAGAAAGCAGACTGTAATAGGTAACTCTGCAGATAAGAGTGGTTGCCCAAGGCAGCTGGGGGAAGTGTTGTGTTTGAGAGCTTTAGTCTATCTTGATAGACCAGCAGGGGTCCCATTCCTAGAATAGTGGGGAGAATCCTCTATGAAAGCCCTCGGACAGGGCCATTGATGTAACACAGTTTAAGATCCTTCCTAGTTGTCCCTGATAAGAAGCAAACAAGAAAATAAAGTTAAGAATTAGTGGCCAGAGAAAAGGGACAAAGATAAACAAAGGGGAGCAGAGAGAAAATGTATATACATGTCTCTGTGTGTGTGTGTGTGTGTGTGTGTGTGTGTGTATGTGTGTGTGTGTTTGTGTGTATGTATGTCTGCATGTATGTGTGACTGTGTGTATGTGTGTGTGTGTGTGAGTGTGTTTATGTGTAATTTAGTCAACTTCATTGTCAATGAGTAGAGTATCTTAGTTCACTCAGGTTTCTAGCTGAAACTCATGTTCCAAAATAAACCATTGGAATTTTTCTCTTATTTGTTCAGGGAAATCTTGGATGGAGGGATGTGAATTAAGTGAGGGTGTGGTCTTTTTTCTGAGGTGCCTTGTAGAGATATTACAGATCTCCGGAGGATGGGAGCTAAGAGCCAAGCTTGCCCTGAGCTTCACTTGCTAGTGCTTAACTCTTGCAGATGTTATGGAAGGAAGACTGCTTCTCTGAGCCCAACACTTCCTCTGAGAAGCTTTGGGAGAGAAACAGTGCTGGCTCTTTGAAGGCCCTGGCACTCAGAGTGTGGTAAGCAAAGTGGGTATCTTCTATCTTCTGAGACCAGTTCTTCTCTTCAGGACACCTCATTATCAGAGAATCCCTCTCCCAGGATCAAAGGCATTCCAACCTCCAGCACAATAGAGCAGAAGTACCTTTGTGGTCACTGATAAAGGGCTTTCCAAGCTTTTCCTGAGAGCCCCATTCAAAACCTGATTGCCAGTAAAAAAGCAAGTACTTTTGCATTAAGTTAGGAAAACCATTTTCTACCAGTGTAAAGAACTGAAGAAAAGCCAGGGGAATTAGTCCAAATTCAACCCAAACTGGTCACTTACAGGTGCTTACAATTGGTTGGGATTTACTTTTCTTCACACTATTAAATCTTTTTTTTTTTAACTCATTCACTTTTCATCCTCTTCACTGCTCCCTCCTGGTCACTCCTTCCCACAATCCTTCCCCTCATCTCCCCTTTCCCTTCTCCTCTGAGTGGGTGGGACCACCCTGGATATCCCCCAACCTTGACACATCAAGTTTCTGGAAGGCTAGGCTTATTCTCTTCCACTGAGGCCATCCAAGGCAGCCCGGCTAAAAGAACATATCCCACGGACAAGTCAGCAGCTTTGGGGATAGCCCCAGCTCCATTTGTTTGGGACCCACAGGAAGACGAAGCTGCACATCTGCTACATTTGTATGAGGAGGTCTAGGTCTAATCCGTGCTCTTTGGTTGGTGGTTCAGTATCTGAGAGCCTCAAAGGTTCAGGTTAGTTGACTCCTTTGGTCTTCCTGTGGAGTTCCTATCCCCTTCAGGGCCCTCAATCCTTCCCCAACTCTTCCATTAGAATCCCTAAGCTCCATCCACTGCTTAGCTGTGGGTCTCTGCACCTGTCTGAGTCACCTGCCAGGTGGAGCCTCTCAGAGGACAACATGCTTCCATCTGCAAACATAACAAAGAATCATTAATAGAGTTAAGGATTGGTGCTTGGCTATGAGATGGGTTTCAAGTTGGGTTCCACTATTGGTTGGCCATTCCCTCAGTCTCTGCTCCATCCCCAATCACTGCATGTCTTGTAAACAGGATAACTTTTGGGTGGAAAGTTTTGTGGGTGGGTTAGTGTCCATATAGCTCCATTGGGGTTCCTGCCTGGCTATAGGAGGTGGCCTCTTCAGGTGTAACAGCTAAGGACACCCCCATTGATATTTGGGTTTCTCCCTTATCCCAGGTCTCTATCTCATTCTGGAGATGTCCCATATCTCCCTATCCTATCAGTTGCAGATTTCCATTCATTCTCATGGCTACCTAGTCATCTCTCCTGTCCCTCTCTACACTTGATCCTGAAGCCCCCTTCCCATCTGCGTCTCCTCTCCCACCCGATTCCCTCCCTCCATCTGCCTCTTATGACTATTTTATTTCCACTTCTAAGTGAGATTCAAGCATCGTCACTTGTGCCTTTCTTGTTTAGCTTCTTTAGACTGTTTAATCTTTGAATTTAAGAGAAGTATTAGCTCTAGGACAATACCCTGACTGTTCTCTGTACTCTGAATTTAAGCATAGTTTTATGTGGAATAAAGTAATATCAATGACTATTGTAATCAAGGCCATCAAAATATCAAAATGAAGACATCTTTCATAAAAGGTGAAGTTGTTACTACTCTATCCTGTTTTCAGGACAGGTATATACAAAGCAGAATACAGAATCCCCACAGTCAAGCTAATGTTTATGGCCATAGAGAGAGTCATCAGTATGAGTTGCTCTGGGCATTATGCATGGCCCCATCCTCTCCAATGCTAAGCCCCTTTCAGTGTGCATTGAGATGATCAGTTAAGGACATCCATATTTTATGGGCTGAGGGTTCATGTTTAGAAACCATGAAAAGTTGTATCAGTGCTGGGATGTCTTTGCCTCTAGTTTCTGGGGAAAATATTTATTAGTTCAAATTCTTTAATAAAATTACTTTAAAATATTTAAATATTGGGCAAAAGAAGCAATAATTACATGTCATATTTGCTTACTTTTCTTTTTCTGAACTTTTTAATTGGGTTATGACTTATAAGTGGGATTCAGGAGATACCATCCTTCCTCTAGGCAGATGCTGGACCCTTGCAGGGAAGGAGTAAGGCTGGCTGGGAGAATTGACTAGGTTTCAAACTTGACTCATCCCACTAGCTGGGGGTCCTGGAACAGTTGCTGGAGCATGTGTCATAGTTCTGCTTAAGGGCATAACCAAAATTACACTGGGTTTCTTTTAAATCCAGATAGCTGCAAAGATTTCATTAGACATTTTCTTTGTTATAGAATAGGGTGTTTACTTCCTAGAACATTAGTGTTAATTAACAAAACCATAACTGGGAGAAAGTTATATTATTTTATAATAGGAATATTGAGGATTAGAATTTATGCTAATGTTTTAAGTTTTAGACAGTGTCATAAGATTTGTTCCTTCAAAGAGATAAGTTTGATTTTTGTTGCTGTTTATTTGTTTAGTGAACACAGTGACAGTTTTAAAATATGACTTAAGATTTTCAAATGGACATTCAACTATTCTATAAAATAATTTTTAAAAACAGTATATTTAGAATTTAGAGTGGAATTTTGTTTTGCTTTTCTTCTTCCAATATCAAATTAACAATGTGGCTCCAATAGAGGAATTCAAGCTTGCTCAGAGAAGCTCTAGATTTGATACGGGCAGCAAAACACATGGTACTCAGTATTTATATTCTTTTTATTCTATACAGAACGACTGACTGCACAGGACCTGAGGCTATGGCTTTTACATCTCACCATAGGTGTCATTTCCTAGAACTGTTTCAACATAGATTTCAGTTTTTAAGAGTACAAGCTGGGGCTTTTTTCCATTACTCTTAGCTGAGGTCTGGATTTAGTCAAACTGGCCACTGTCACTTCTTGGTCTAATTAGAAGCACCTGTGAGAATTTTGTGTTAAATTGAGAGAAAGAAAGTTAATATTCTCAGTGACTACAATAGAGTTTCATCCCAAAGCCTGCTTAATGTAACCAGGCACCTCTCACATTTATAAAATTGATTACCTTTGGATTCAGTACCCATCAGTTGTGTGTGTGTGTGTGTGTGTGTGTGTGTGTGAATTATGTGTACATGTGTCTGCATGTAGATATGGGTGCATGACCACAGTGCCCACAGATGCCAGAGTCATTGGATTCCCTGGAGCTGGAGCTACAGGCAGTTGTGAGCTACTCAACATGGATACTAGGATCACTCAACATGGGTACTGGGATCACTCAACATGGGTTCTGGAATCAAATTTAGGTCCTCTGGCTAAACAATAAGTGGCATCACCTGCTGAACTATCTTGACATCTTTGTATATCCTTTTAAACAGCAGAACACTCATATTCTTGAAGGAAAAAGATGAAATATTGAGATCTGAGTCAGGTCATGCAGTATTGCTAACTAGATATGCTGTTTTCTGACAGAGATAGATATGTTGTTTTCTGACAGAGAATGATCCATGTGTTACTAAACTGATTTATTGTGGAGAAAATAGTGCCTCAAGTGCTTCTCTGCTTCTCTCTCTTCTCCCATGTTCTTTCCAGTTCTATTGTCCACACATTCCTAAAACAAATTTCTTCCTGTCATAAACTTGCTACCTGTGGTCTTATCACAGTAGTAAAACATCAGGGGAGTTTGAAAGGGAAATTAAAAATAAATATATTTCAAGTCAACATAGGGGGGGGGAGGAGGAGGAGGAGGAGGAGGAGGAGGAAAAGAAGGAGGAGACTAGTTAGGAGAAAGTTACGATTTAAAGCATTTTCAAGAGCTCACAACGAAAAAGACTTGGCATATTAGGAAATCCAGAGTAAGTCTTGAGGAAGATTTTTTTTTAAGTCCCATATCTTGATAACTAACTATAGTAACTATAGTAAGCACTAACTATAACAGAGTTTTCACATATTTAACACAACCGAGTGAAATAAACAATAGTATATCTTACCTCCAAGGAGATTAGCACCTGTGTTGAATAAAAGGGATGAACAAAACACTATTTGGCAGCTACCATGGATCCTCGGTTTTGAACCTGCCAGAAACTTTTTTCTCATAAAGAGAGTCTATTCTTACAAGCACATGGACAAGAATTTGTGCTGTAAATATAGAAGGCTCACCTTAGGCCCAAACTATGCCTGGAAAGCACAAACGAGGAAAGAATGACGGAGATTTAAAGTGCTCAATTATATAAGGAGATATAGGGGCTGGCCTGAACAGCAGTCACTTCCATGGAGTAAAATCTATAGTGACCGTGGAACCATGGGAGATATAGAAACCCTGTCATAGGCCCAGAGTATCCAGGCACCCCGCACCCCTGTGGCTTCCACTTCCTTCTCAATCTTTTAAGCCACAGATGTTCTTTTCTTTAGCACTTTCTTTAGATTGAGAGTCATGAAATTTTCCTCCACATGAGGCTTCTTCAGGTTTTTATATCTGCTTTCCTATTTTTTTTTTTTTACCTTTTATATTGCATGGGAGGCTGGATCAGTGTGCAGCAGAATCAAGCTAATTACAACTTGCAAAGCCTAAATATAGCATAATGACAGAGTGTCATTCAAGAGTAGCACTGAGCTGAGAAATCTTTTGGCAGGCTAAAACAGAGCTTATTCAACTGCATGGAGATAGCTCTAGGCCTAGCCAACTTCAGAACTCTGAGTTACCCAAAAGCTGAAAGTGGAGCACTGACCAATGGGCTTGTCCAGGAGGAACGTTAATCTCTTGTCTGTTTTGCTTGTTTTGTGCTGACTCTTAATTTTGAAGAATAATCTGAATGGTGATCAACTGATATTGTATAGGAAGAGCCACCTTCTATTTAGAATTGTAGAACATGTATGTGGAAATAGAAAACTGGCAAAATCAAGATATCAAAAAAAAGGAATATTCACAGAATGGAAGGTAGAGTCATGCCATAAACAGAACAAGTGTAACGATTTTATCAGCAAAGAATTTGTCATTGAGTTTGGCTATCAGCCAAATTTGCCAGAGCCTTGTTCTTACATCACTATTTTTAATAAATTTGTCTTAGTGCTTTTTTATTGACTTTATTTCTGTACTTCTGTGAAGATATGCATATCAGATGTTTCTAATATGTATGCACACATCTTTGGCACAGGAATTTGTATCATACAGATGTATATACAATGAGTGGTCTTGATCTTTGTATAACCTTTATGCCAAAGTCAGAAACAATCATTCTACCTCTGAGAAACATTGGCCTTTGGTAGTCTCATTTAGTTAAGGACAGTCATAATGGATAACAAGTCTCATTTAGCTGATGCTATCTGTGATGTTAATATTCTGATGTCCCTACATTTGCCTGTACACTCTCCTCTTTGGTTCTACTGTGAGTCCTGTGGACATGCTTACTATTAATATTTGGTGACAGGACTTAATAAGAACCTTTCAGAGTCTAAGTGAACAGAGGATGTATAGGTATGTCCAGCACTGTCATCAGAGTTCTACATTCCACCCCAAAATTTAGCCTTTGAACCCAAGGCCAAGCTACTTCTATTTTGCCATCCATGCTGCCTTCCTTTGTGGACAGACCATAAGAAGCCTGTCTTAGCATTCACCACACTCCCCTATGTGTACAAAGGCAGTCTATTCTCACCATTTGAGGAAGCTGCTTATTTCACTGAGAGCTGGACAGTGTCTTCTTTCCACCTGTCTGTGTCCTCAGCTCCTATTTTGATTCTATAGTTAGTACTTTCATATGAGAAGAAATCGATAGGCAGAAGAGCTGCGATGAGTGAAACCAACTCCTCTGTAGTAGTCCTGGAGATAAAATTCCTTTTGTTTGTATGTTTGTTTGTTTGTTTGTTTGTTTGTTTTGTTTTGTTTTTCGAGACAGGGTTTCTCTGTGTAGCCCTGGCTGTCCTGGAACTCACGCTGTAGACCAGGCTGGACTCGAACTCAGAAATCCACCTGCCTCTGCCTCCCAATTGCTGGGATCAAAGGTGTGCGCCACCACTGCCTGGCTGGAGACGAAATTCTTAAGGATGCTATGATAAGCCACCTCGATTCTTTATTTACCTTGCAGGATATAAACTAATGTCATCACTCTCGAGGTTCATGTTCCTGTCTTAGCTTTGTGTGGTCTATCTATTTTGACGAGTTTGTAACATACAAAAGCAAACAAACACTTAACGACCTTAGTGCCCGTGCAGACCTATGAACGTGGGAAGTGTGAAATACAACTTTTCTGACAGCTATCAAATTGTGTCATGATGAAAATGAGGGACCTATAATTTAGTTTAAAATTTTCACATTAACAATAGTATCAGTGCCTAAAGATAGAATTGACGGCATCCAACTAGCACTTCTCAATATTATGTCTGGGTTTAAAAACCTCCAATTTCTGTTTGACTATGTTAATGTAAACAAGTAAGTTCCCCTCAGTGCAGTCTTGCATTTATACCACAAACACAGCCAGAGTGTGTGAATTCAGGGATTTCTAGAAATTCACAGCTATGTATAATTCAATAATACACTCCAGTGAAACACTTCTGAGTCTACTTTCAGCAAAACAATCTTACTGAAGATTAAAAAGGGGGTGTTTATTTTTCTATAAGTGACTTGAGTACGAGAAATGTTGTCAAATTCTAAATAAAATGTCCATGACGTGAGAGAAGAATTAAGTGCAATCTCACAAAGTTAGCAATTCTATAGAACCATCTCCTCTTGCAGATTTTAAGGTGAGCATACACAGCTCCAGAAGACTCTGTGAGGTCCCCTTTCATTTACACCTTCCACCTTTCCAAAGCCTCCCCTATATTGTCTTATGTGTTATTATTTTTGCTTGTTATTTGAGCTTTCCTATGAGTTGAATCAATTCCTATTTCAATAATTCTGCCACATGCTTCAATATAGTCCCATCTACTGGAAAACAAACTTTCCATGATAGAGACTAAGGTTAATACACAGTTTAAATATGTCATTTATAAATACCAAGTGTGAATTTCTGTGAGGGATCTTGGACTGCCTTCTGTTCCTGATGAGATCAGAGGTAGAGACAAGACTCAAAAAATATACAAAAAAATAAATAATGTCTGATGTTATCTATGGTCAACAAGATTCTAAGCACCATTGGTAGAACATGGCATTTAATTCACATGTAATGTCAGGTAGAATTCCTCCCACAAAGAGAACAAAGTAGAGACAGCATTCGCATGATCCCAGAGCAGCAAGAACACAGTAGAGGGGACTGTGGGTACAAATGCCTATGAAGATGGCATGAGCACAGAGCTTGGTGATAGAGCACCTTCTTCACAGGCACCAGGCACTGAGTTGTAGTTCCAGTTTCACTTAAAGTCCGAAGCCAACACAGTTTAAGCCATGTGAGTTTCTCTGCCTTCCTACAGCTCGTGGTCCCCAGGAAGAGCCATGGAAGCCACAAACCTTTGCTCACACCTGCTCCACCGTGCTCTAGAGGGAACAGGAGCCTAAAATAGAAAAGCAACCCAACTCAGAAGTCAGCAACATCAAGATGAAAGGACTTGGGCTTGACAATGCTTTGAAACTAGTCTTCTTGCTTTTTAAAATTGTTTCTGTGAGAGACAATGGAAAGTAAAGAATATGTGCTTGAGTGCGTACACACTCAGTGTCATGCCAGGGTGTTCCTTGTCTTCATAAGAACCCCCATTTTCATTGGAAAAAATAGGTTAACCAATGGTCCCAAAGGCAACAAGTAGGCATAAGTGCCTGCCCTAATTCTAGGTGTTGAGAACTTACCTTTTGAATCTGGATTATACAATTCTTTCTTAAAGATTTGTGAATAAAACATTCTGTACATATTCTGACACTGTGACATTAAAATACATTAAACTATGAATGAGTATCAGTTTAACAGGAAACAAATTAATTACTTAGAATAATCTTTATGTCAAGCAGGATACTGTTGTTTTTTGAGAAAACATGTTAGCTTGATCCTGATATCATAGGCAAAGTTATTGAGAAGCATCACATAAATGGATTGGCAGAGCTTTTCAAAATACAAAACAGTCCCAAAAAACTTGTGGGGGTTTTGTTGAAGTCCAGTTTAGCTGGTTTGAGGCAGAGCCTGAGATCTGTATTCCTAATGAACTTGCAAGGAACATCTTCTCTCCAACCTACTTTAAAGAACCCTTGAGGGAGGTAGGAGTCTCTGAGCCATACTCCATACTTCTGTTCTTTAACAGAAACTAAGTGGCATGTGTTCTTTTCAATACACATAGAATACATAACAGTAGCCAGTCACCTTTCAAAGTGGCTCAATATAAACAAGTACTGTGTTCCCTCTGGGAAATAAAGTTCAGCTTTCCAGATGTGTACTGAATAAAAAGCAGGCTCAAGACTGTTTAATGGGGGTAAAGATGAAAAAAGAGAGGGGCAGATATTAAACCAAGCTCCTTCAGATACAGCCTGATCATGTGCTCAGGAGACTCTATAGTCCTGGCCAACCAGAGCCAGTGCTGTGCTCTTTGTTAAGTGGTGTCTGAAACTGGTCAGATGTGCTTAATATTTGGAGAATTTCTGAGCCACAGAACAGAATGTTTTAAGCTCCAAATGAGCTGAGAGCTCTGTAACAGAAGCCTGCTGAGGCTGCTAAGGTCCCTAGCTTTACAAGGAAGGATTGTTGTCAGGGGTTGTCACAGGGCTGATGTTTAGGATTAGTATGCTTAATAAAGTCCTCAAAGGCCAGAGGTTGACTTCTTAACATACCTGAGAAGATCTTAATGCCTCAAATGGAAGTTATGGGGAAAGCACAAAGGTTAGGGTTTGCTGTAACCTACACAGTAAATACACTGCCAACCGGAAGAGGTCCTAAACATGAGCAACCTGGACTGTCCCCAGGCATCAGCACCATACAACATAGGCAACACACACACACACATACACACACACACACACACACACACACACACGAATAGATCATGTAGGTGTACCTACACTTTCGATATTGTGACACTGACATCTATAAATTTCACATGATCATAAACTGTGCAATTGGTCCAGCAAGATGGCTTAAAAGGTAAAAGTATTTGCTACTCAAGCATGACAGCCTGAGTTGATCTCCAGATTTGATCTAATGGTTGAAAGAATAAAATGGTTCCTAAATGTTATCCTCTGATCTATACAAACACACACATATGTTCGTGTGCATGCATGTACTTGATTGTGGGACATTGCCATGTTTCTTTCTTTCTTCTATCTCTAAGCTTTGCTTGTCATTCTACATAGGAGCATGCACTTTTTTAAAAATGTGAAAGAAAGTGACATTAAAAGGTGTGAGTGTTTTTTTTTGGAACTTGACATTAAAATATTGTTTAAGTATAAAATAGTTAACATTTTTCATCTTATTCTACAAATGAAAATAGTGGTTTCTTTAAGGTACTGACCTTAGGAAAAATTTCATTCTGTGAGCACAATTCTTAAAAACTCAAGGAAGATCTGTCATAATATGAAATATGTCACACATGGAATGCATTTCCCATTGAAGACAATATTTCTTTCTTACATAAATGTTTCATTTGCCATTAAAGTAAACGGAAGTTCATGAAGGTTGGTTAAACAAAGAAGCCCATTTTTAACTGTACAGAAACAAGAGTGTTCTATTCCCAATTACTCTTAACTGCAAAGGCTACATCTCAAGGACACAGGCAAGGGTTAAGAGTACTATCTACTTCTCCCAAGTAACATGAAACCAAATTGACACTCATTCTACACCCACATAGCAAAGCAAATAGCATAAGCTCTCAAGTACAAACAGAGGAGACAGGGACACAGACCAGGAAAAGGGTTATGATGAAAGTGAATTGTTTTAGAAACACTTTCTCATATCTAACCATCAAACAATAACACCTTGATCATATATCTATGCCATTTGGTGATGTGTAGATGAGTCCACACAAAGCAAATGAATGGTATTATGACAATTAAGATAAATTCATCCAAACTTAAATAAATTGGCTAAACAGGATGAGTGAGTCCCGTTAGTTCATACATTGAAAACTCAGTCTACTTGTTGATATGTGCATGGAAGTAGAAGACAACCATGTGAATTCATGCTTAAAGAACGTGTTTGAACACTGGAGCTCAGACTGTCATATCTCTGGGTCTAGTCAACAGTATATCCCAAGGCCATATAGTTAAAAACGGCTTATGAATACCTCATATTGACTTTTCCTGTTCCCCAAGCGGAACTGGCTCTACAGGTATGTCTGCAACACTTCAACTGACTTCCAATTTTGCACTTAGAAAAACTGGATATAGTGACTATTCTTGGTTGTCAATTTGACTACATCTGGAATTAACTAAAACCTAAAACTCAAATAGCTAGGTCCACCTGTGAAGACTTTGTCTTAATTAAATCATTTTAAGTGATTATACTCACTTTTAATCTGGATAATTTGAAGTAGGAAGCTCCACCTTTAATCTGGGCCATACATTATGGTGGGAACCTATATAAATGACACAGAAGAAGATTGCTCTTGCTCTTTCAGACAACCTCATTCCTTCACTAGTATTAGAGTCTTCTTTGGGATTCCAGGATATGCTGAAGACCATCTGAGACATCCAGCTTCATGGACTGAACACCTACTGGACACCTTGGACTTTCTGTTAGTAGACCGCCATTGTTGGACTAGCTGAAGCACAGCCTGTAAGTCATTCTAAACAAATTCCCTTTATATATATTCATTCTAACAGTTCTGCTCCTCTAGAGAACCCTGGCTAACATACCAGGTATGACTAAAATAGTTAACTTCCAAAAAAATTTCAATGAAAAAGAAAACGACTGTGAGTTTCCAGTTTGCACTTAGGGTTGTATGTAACATGTTACTATTTTACTCCATTTTGCCTTACCAGTATTTGGGGCTTTCTAGTCCCATAAACACCTGCTTCTTACCACCACCATGCCCTTGCCTCCTTACTCCAGCTGCTATCTGTGAAGATAAAGTATTTTCTTACTTTAACACATCTCGAAACTCAGCCTATTTTCCTTGTGACTCACAGGTCTAAATATGTCTTTAGAATTAACATTTCAATTATGCTTTCTGATAAGCTATTTAATGCAGAACTCTTTCAAATTATCCAGTGACCAGATTTTATGTCTGGATTTTGTCATCTGCTGTGGAGGCAAAGCTCTGGAGAGAGCTTGCATTCACATTTCAATGGGGAATGAAGTAAAGTCTGAGCAACCTCTGTGTGAAGGAGTGGCTTTCAGTTTAAATTCCCTTCAAGCATCTGCACTGCTAGAGGGAAAATGACTTGATCAACTTCAGAGTCTGATGGAAGTTCAGAAGCTAGGGTGCCATTGATAATGGTCTTCTTTCTACTTAGTAGGCCTGTAGATCCCGCTTGCTTATCTCCAGACACCTCCAGTCATGCTAACACAATTCCAAATTTTGTTATCACAAAGTCCTATAGATAAAAAAAAAGACTTCCTGAAACAGGTGCAAGTTCCTTTTTCTCAATGCACAGTCTGACACTGTATGAGAAATTCTTAGGGCATTTTATGGGATCTACACACCAGCAACATTTCTTGATTTACATGAGGAAGGAGACTGGACATGCCACAGCTCCAAGAAGTAGGTTTTGTTTACTGCATGTGTGGTTTACCAAGGCAATAACTATTTACCATATTAGAGTTGTACTCATTGCTGGAAATGGCTAAAGCATGGGTGTAGCACAGTTTCTGCTTTCAAGCAACTTACGTTTAGTATAATAAGCTTATAATCTCCTAGGAGATTATACTAATCATGTTGATTATAGTAATGATAGCCTTCCAAAAAGCCAAATAGTCATCCCAGTGATTACCCATAAATAGTAATTGAAAGATAAAACTAATATGAAAGTGAGTTTTGTAAATCTCTTAAGTAGAATAATATAGAAAACCACTTAGATAAGACTCTAAAAGCATTAAAATCAAAGCTAAATTCAAACTACCATTTTAACACCTTGCCAAAAATTAGCAAGGATTTTAATTGTAAAAATGAACACAATAGATCATATGATAGTTATAAATATTTAAATCCTCACAAAAATTATGGGTGGCACAATTATTACCCATGTGTCAAATAGGAATGATTAGTAATTGGGCTGATTTGTCAAAACCTACAGAGCCAGCTATGGGATGTGTCTGGATACAACTACAGAAGACAGGCACAACAAGCATTAACTACTGCATATTGTTGGTTTCCTTTTACTGCACACCGTATCCTAAGACACGTGAGATAGCCCTTTAAGAAACTTCACGAAAAAACTTAAGCAACAGTAATACTAGAGATATAATTTTAGCAGGGTTGGGAACCAATTAGCAAGCACATTTAGCTTGAAGCCATGCACAGATTACTTACTAAACCCATTTATTTATATAAAACATTATTTATGCATAGCAAATGCACAGGATCTGACTGTAACTATTAACTGAGACAGATACATCCCTCCATGTGACTGTCATCGCAATTGAGATAGAAAAGACCTTTAGAGCCCCACAAACGTCTCCTGTGACTCTATTCAATCAGTCCCTATGCCAGACCCAGCAAAATAAACAGCACAAGATTTCTAACTCCTGCCACTGCAGACTTTAGCACGTTCTTGAACGTGACATTAGTGGGATATGTCAGCTGCTCTGGCTGCCTTACTTGTCATTCAATATTGAGTTTTAGAGACTTAGCTCTCCATTTTGTTTCATATTGTTTTAATCCATTAGGGTTGCTATAACAAAATAGCACAAACAGAGTCAATTATAAATAATAGAATTCATTTCTAACACACGCAGAAAGTTAGAAGATCAAGGTCAAGGCATCAACCTGTCCAAACCTGCAAATGAATGTCTATTCATTTTGGTGCTGTTTTATTTCCATTGCAAATATACCAAGTTCACTTTTTCGTTCTCTTGATAGCTATTTTATTTGGTTTTCTTATTGCTTGGCTTTTTAAGAATAAAGTGGTTGTGAACATTTTGCAAACATATGCAATCATCTGAAGGTGGGGATATAATTTGTAAACCATGAGGTAGGTATGTTTACTATTTTAGCTTCAAAGGGGCTGTGCATTTTACACTCAGATTGGCAATAAATAACATATCCCAAATTCTCCCCAGTATGAATACTTTATTCTGGCCCAGGTGGTGTAGAGCAGCTTGTCATTCTGTGATGGTTTGTCCAGGGGTGAAGTATGATTTATTTCACACAAGGTTTCATTTCACTTTCAAGCATGTTGACTCATTTTGCAGAAGTGAAAATTATAAGCATAATGCACTTTCAGTAGACAATATCCATTTCCAGTAGATAATATTTCTCAAACCTGATTCTGAATTATGATTAAAAGACTTAGCTTATGGGAAAATAACAACATTCCTACTATGTGGAACAACATTACTGTGCTGTTATGTTTCAAGAGTAGTTTCTTTCTTTTTTTAAATTTATTCACTTTATATCCTGTTCACTGCTCCCAGTCACCCCTCCTCCTATACCCCCTACCCTTCTCCTCTGAGAGACTGGAGGCCCCCCCTACCCATCCTCTCCCATCCATCAAGTCTCTGCAGGTCTAGGCACATCCTCTCCCACTGAGGCCAGATAAGGCAGCCCTGTTGGGGAACAGATTCCACAGATAGGCAACAGCTTTAGGGATAGCCCCACTCCAGTTTTTCAGGACCTACTTGAAGACTGAGTTGTACATCTGCTACATATGGGATAGAGTGGGGTGGGCTAGATTTAGTCCATGTATGCTCTTTGGTTGGTGGTTCACTCTTGGAGAGTCCTAAGGGTCCAGGTTAGTTGACTTTGTTGGTCTTCCTGTGGAGTTCATATCCCCTTCAGGGGCCTCAATCCTTTCCCCCAGTTCTTCCATAAGAATCCCCAAGCTCCATCCACTGTTTGGCTGTGGGTCTCTGTATCTTTTTGAGTCATCTGCTGGGTAGAGCCTCTCAGAGGACAGTCTTTCTAAACTCCTGTCTTCAAGCATAACAGAGTATCATTAATAGTGCCAGGGATTGGTGCTTACCCATGGGATGTGACTCTAGTTGGGTAAGTTAATCACTTGGCAATTCCCTGAGTCTCTGCTCCATTCCTAGTCCCTGTATTTCTTGCAAACAGGATAAATTTGGGTCGAAAATTTTGTGAGTGGGTTGGTGTCCCTGCTGCTCCCCTGGAGTTCCTCATTGGGTTCAAGACGTGCCCTACAAGAGTAGTTTTCTAGTAACTAATTTTCTTTTGTATTTCTTCATTCTGCCTCTCTCATACGTAATACTTTTGCATTGCTTTGTATCCCAAATCTTCTGCTTTATTATATTTTATGATTTATTTTATTTATAATTATATGTATGCACATATCACATATCAGTATGTGCCCATGAGTACATTATCCATGCAGACCAGAAGAGGGTGTCAGATTCCCTACCATTATAGCGACAAGCATCTGTAGATACCCTATTTGGTTACTGGGGATAAGAACTCCAGCCCTCTGGAAGAACAGTAAGGGCTTGTAAGCACTGAGCCATCTCTCCAGCCCCATTATGTTAATAGTATATCACAAAGTCAGCATAAGGGGTGAAAGTCTTCTGGAAGTGCCTGTTTCTTTCACAAAATACCTTCATAAATAGTCATGCACATGAATAAAAATCTTTGTGATCTCATGAGCATAGGTCAATCGGTGTATTCCTCTAAACATTTTGGGAATCAATCTGCCAAGACTTTCTTAAAAGTAACCACCCAACCAATTCACTATCAGTGCCTGTAAGTAAGTATAGATATTCATTTTGGTCCTTTCTCCCTCTAAATGTAGTGTATAGCAATAGTGCTTTATAAAATTTACTTCCTTTATTACTGTTCTTGAGAATTGCTCCTGAATGGTAATGTACCCTCCTGTTCATTAATTCAGCACAATCTATTAATCTGTTCTCTCCTTTGATTCCTAGCATCATTGGAACATTTCTCACACATTTCCCAGATATTAAGATCTCACTGTTTCACCTTAAGTTATACCATCTAACAGTTACTCTGGAACATGCTGGGGGATATGAATAGGCACAACTTTCAGGACAGCTAACCTATCCAAGGTTACCATAGTTTTCAGGCTGAAGAAGACCAGAATGCCAGGTGGCAAGCAGTCAACAATGGTAGAGAGAATCTCAGGATTGCTTCTAAGATATCACCTTTACCTGGGTTCAATCAGATCCCCTCCCCCTAATTCCAAATTTAAGAATACCTTTATTTCCCTCTTTATTAATGAGCTTTAACATGAAAGAGTGAGTTCCCATAAGGCAATTACTACATAATTGCTAGAAGAACTCAAGAACTCTCACAATTCAACAGTTTGGCTTCGGGGCATGCTTTGAAGAGCTCCTAAGCTGAGGCAGGACAACATTGACTGTGTAATGGTCTCAGGAGGCTGAGGCTTTGTAAGGTCTTCTCTCTTGTCCTTTCTTCACTGTGTGTGGGCTGTCTCATGGCATCATGCCCTTCATCATAATACAATGAGAAGACTCTTGACAGGTTAAAGTACCATGAGGCAGGGCTTCCTGGTCTCCATAATCATAAGAAGTAACTATTTTTTATAAGTCACCAAGTTTGTTTTCTTATCATAGCAGGAACAAATGAGCACATTCAGTGATTTCAGCCTTGAACCTACCAGAGAAAAAATCATTTTAAGGCTGACATGATTGTCTTATTCTCATACTAGTGTCAGATTCTCACTCCTCAACTTCAAGTGATCCTTAATGGGCCTTATTTTAACATTTTTCTCCCTATAAACATTCAACTAAGCTCAAAACATAATGTACAAATCAACACAGAGCAGCCTTTGTACCCATTATTGCTTTCATAGCCTTAACTGTAATAGCCACTTGAATTTCCAACACCTGTACTTCCATTGGGATTTTTCTGAATTCTGATACATGATATCAGGGTTAGTTATGATGCTATTGTATGCCTGATTAATGGTATCCAGTTTTACATTGGTAATGATACTCAAAGTCATTGTTAAGCCAAACTCCATATCCCATCTGTGCTAGAGTTGAAAGAAATGGTTCCTTGAGAGATATTCAAATCTATGGAACCCACGAACATGTAGAAAAATTGGTGAAGGGTTACAGATAGTATTAAATTAAAGGGCTTGGCATGAGGAGATCATTTTGGACTATATATGTGAGCTTTATATGCAAATAAATATCCTTACAAGACAGAGGCACAGAGTCATTTGATCTGAATAGGATGAAGTGAAAAGACCATTGTTTGAAGAGTATCAGAATCCACCAGCAGAGGAGGAGACAAGAAATGGATTCCTCTGCAGAGCTTCCAAAGGGAACACAGCAAAAACAAAAATCCCAGTTTGGCCCAGTCATACTGATTTTTCACTTCTTTACTATTCGTGGCTATTCTTCTCTAATAATCTGCTGTAGCAGTCATGCAGGTAATTCTAAGACCAATCAAGTTCACAATGAAGATTAAACTTCACATTGTGGGATGGTATGTGTCTAATCTCTGGGATAATTCATATTAGCAAGTTTTTAGTGATCTACATGTTGCCAGAGGATGGGAAATACAGAGTGGTGGATGGGATGTGTTTAACAATGAAGTTATTAACCAGAAGGGGTATAAAGGCTTGTGAACATGTGGTTCAGTTTCCAGGGAACTACTTTATCCATCGTCAACTTGAATTGTGGGGTCAAAGACAAATCATCCCTTGGACTACAGGTGAGCAGGCTCATATGCAGATTTTCTCATCAGTGCCACTTTTGTCATTCTATGAATGAAAATTGTCCTTCTGTCTTGGTCATATTCTTCAAATTGGTTTTCTTATTATAATATTTCTATTTTTGAGATAATAATTCATTACCTCCCCCATTCCCTTTTCTCCTTCTCTTGATACCCTTTCTTTCTTGAAATCAGCTCAGCCCATATGGTGCTTGTACATATATGTTTTAATTTGGAATCAGATAACCAATCGGTATGCTCTTACCTGGAGAAGACAGTTTTTGCCATGTTCAGCATTCCTTCGTTGACTCTTGTTCTTTTTCTAGAGTTGAGACCTCCTGGGCTTTCCCCCATCCATGTTGTCATGTCTATTGATATCACATTTAGAAAACCATGTTGGTGAAACTTCATGGGCCTACCTTCTCTCATATTTCTAGAAGATATATTCTTAAACTTCCTGTTTTCCTGGCTCTTAAAATCTCTCTGGTCCCTCTTCTGTTATGATCCCTGGGCCTTGCAAGCAGGATTTGTGTTGCATATCTATCAGCTGAAACTGTGGTCAACAACTCTGCATTTTGATTGGTTATGGTTTTCTATAATGGTCTCTGTTACAAAGAGAAGTTTCTTTGCCAAGGAGTTAGGACTACACTAATCTGTGGGTGAAATGACAAATATTTAGGATGTAGGTAGGGACTATCCTGGTTTAGAAGAATGATAGTTACAGATTCTTCTCCAAGAACCATGACTTTATTGGAAACAGTGGTTGGATAGAATCAGGCATGATTTCCCTCTTGTTGAGCCCATCTTAAGTCCACTTAGATTGGCACTTAGTGCCAAAACATGTGTGATACTACTACACCTTTAGAGTTATCCTGGCATGCTGGTCACTGTTGTGGTTCATAGATGAATAGCTGGATATTTGTGTGGTACCTTTTGTTTCTATCAAAGCTAGTCCTCAGAGTGGAGACATTCAAGTAAAATCCGTCACTGGTCCACTGGGTTCTATAACCAAAATGTGTTCAGCAGCAAGGCTTTACATTCTATCTCTGTAGGGTAACCAAGGTAAATAGCAATACCCTGTAATATTTTAGGAGTCTCTTAGAAAACCCTGACCAGCAACTCAAGAAATGGCCTCTCATGCCAGCTGTTGGTGATTTTGTTATATAGTCTGTGCCTCTGGAGTGGAGCATTGTCAACCTAGATGAGAAACATTTGCTTAAACTTCATGTATATGTATGTGTATGTGTATTTATGTGTGTATAAGTGTGTACGTACATATATATTATGTGTATGTATATACAGACTTACATGTAGTATAGGTATCATTAGGTAGATAGTTAATAATGGTTCCTTATGACTTTTCCAGACCTCTTAACTGGAATTTTATCCTTCTTCTTCCTCTTATCCAATTCCTCTTAAACATTCTCAATGGTGGTTGCTAGTATCCCAACAGACTGTGTGACAGGGCTTTCCTCCTTGAGTCTCAGCTTTCTAGTTTTCACTGTGGAGCTGATTCTCTTTCCTGTATTTTCAGAACTGTAACTAGGGGTTGCAGTATTCAGCTGCAAAAGCTCCCTAGATTTCTTCTGTGCTAGAGGTAGATATCTGGTTGCCTGTAAGACATATACAGTGGCTTTACTTTCTGAACCAATTAATCTGTACTTATTTAATACAATGCTCCCAGTAAGAGCCACTTCCTAGACACTAGACACCCTGGTAACTATGATGGATACACTAGAGAATAGCATATAACTTGTGCCTCAAGGTGTTCTATACCCTAATGGCATAAGTCAAGTACCAATGAAACTGAGACATTCACAGGAGTGAAGACAGAGCTTATGTATTAATTACATTTTCATTGCTTTAATAAAATACCTAAAGCAAATAACTTTATAAAGAAAGGATGCTTATTTAGCTCTCAACCTCAGAGGACTAAAGATCAGGCATTTGTATCAACTGGGTTGTGATAAGGACTTTTTTGTTTGTATCTTACTATGGTAAATAGTAAGTATAAAAACATGGAAGAGCAAGGGATCACATTTTAATGTATGGAGTCATCAAAAGGCTCTGTAGGTCCAGTCTCAGGCTTCTAGATTAACCTTCTTATAGGAACTAACTAGGGTACCTGAGCAATACCTTTGACCCCTTTGAAGAAATGCCCCTCATTTTGCCTAGAACCTTTTACTAAACATCGGGTCTTCAAGGCCCATTGCCTCCTTACTCAAGGGAGGCAAGCTCTCAACATCCAAATTCATGGACCCTTGGGAAATAACCATATTCCAACCCCAGCCACATGCAAGGGGAGTGCCACCCAGGAGCAGTGGGGATTGTCTAGATTAGGAGGAATTTTGAGGATCATTTGGAGAGAAAAGAGCATTGAAGTGAGATTTTTGCATGGGCTATAAATACAGTAGCCACAAGAGTGAAGAGGGACTTCATCTCAGGAATGGCAATGTCAAATGCACAGCATCCAAAGCTGCATAGGCGTGTAAGTAGCCAGGAGCTTTAAGTTCTGTATGAAAAATATGAAGAGTATGGAAAGAGGATACTATTAATAAACAGCCCTAGTGGGACAGTGATGTATAACAGGGTCTCATGACAACTCAGTTCAGCCTCAATCTCATAACAGAGACTATGCTAGCCTTGAACTCACACTACTGTTCTGGCTTTATACTTTTTATTTTAAATATCAATTAGACATTTTAAAGACAAGCTATTATCTTTTAGTATATTAGAAATTATGGAGATATTATGAACCAGAACTTATCACTAGAAGACTAGAAAGTATAGTCTCTTATACTCCAAATTGAGAAAACATGTTGTCTTGAGACTGCAACATATAAATTAATGGATCTAAGAGGAAAGAATGTAGAAAATGAGAGATGAATGGGAAGAGTAAGAGGATATCTGAAGGAAGGGGAGGGAAATGACAGACATGTGGACTGAAGGAGAGAGGAAGAGAGGATAGAAGGTAAAGAAGAAGGAAGGAGGTTCAGGAAAGAAAGGAAGGAGGAAGGAATGTAAGAAAGAAAAGAGGAAAATAAGAAAGAATTATAAAGATCTCTTTATTCCAATGATGAATTATAATCAATTGTTTCCCCAAAGATATGAGTATAACCAGATTCTTACCCAGAGCCATGGTGAGCTTAGATCCCAGCTTACTCTGGGAGCAAATAAAAGCAAAAACTTAACATTTCTCCTAGAAACACAGAAGCAAGAAAACAGGGTCAAAAGGGCAGTGACAGAGTAGTAAGCACTTTATCCCAAGCATAAACATCACTGGAGTGCATCTGGGACCAAATTACCTCCCTCAGACCTGAGATGTTAGCATTCCTGCCCTACTTCAGCATGCCAATTTTGCTGTGGCTTTGAGGAGGCTGAGCTGGAAGTTACATTGACATTTAAGAAAAATGGTTGGACCTCAAGGACTAATATAACTTAAGCAAATACAAGGCATCCCACCGAGGAAAACCTCATAAAACTCCAAATTCTAAGGTCAGAGCTCTGACCTATGAACATCAAGTGTGAGTGGACATACATTACCCACTTCAGAAGACGCGGTACTTTTCATTGGTGGGCAGACACAATTAGGAGATCCAAAGCCATAGAGAACACATGAGTCACACTCCATCAGTGAAATGGCAACTGTGCCTGATTAGAAGGACAATCGAATCCTTTGCTTTTCTGACCACATAAGAATGACTAAATCACTTGTGCTACCCAAAATAAGAAGCAGCACCTACATGGAGCAGTCTGATTTGTGCTTTTATCAAAGAAGATATGATAAAAAGGGGAATAATACTGCCACCTGAAACAAATGACTGGATAGTCTGCATAATTTAATAGTTACCAGAAGTTTATAGAACTGATATGTAATATGTATGTATGTGTAATATGCATGGTCTTAACACACCTTTTCTTGGGTTCCATTCCCCAGCAGAATCTGTTCTCTGTAAATCCCGCAAGAAACTCTTCAAGGAAGAAGACACTATACAGTATGGAGCCTTCCCACTTCTAACTGAAGCAGATTCTTCATTAGTCTCAATAACCCAACGGTTATGAATGGATAGAAAGATGTGACACGTGGTCATACACACATGCATGCAGACACATCCACACCCAGATACATACAAATATTAATCAGCCTTTAAAAGGAGTGTATCTGGCATATACTAAAGCATGGGTGAGTCTCAAAGACATTATGCTAAGTAAAATAAGCCAGACATCACATAATGCATATGGAGGGTGCCACTTGCTTGATATAGATATCGATAGATTAGTCAATTTAACAGACATGGAATATCAAGAGGTATTGCCAAGGGCTGGAGTACAGTAGGGAATTCTTGTTTAATGGATACAAAGGTTGACTGGGGAAGAAGGAAAGATTCTGGAGATAGCTGGTGTTGGCTATATAATACTGTTACTAATGAACACAGTGCACCTAAAGTGGTAGCTTAAAATGGTTAACATAGTAAACTGTGTTATTTTTAGATTACAAACAAAAGTAATTAAATTTTTAATGAAGTTGATTATGAAAGTACCTTTTTAAAATGTATTTTGAATAATTCTTTTTAAATTTCTTTTTTAAAAGATTGAGTTACTTATTTGTTTGTTTGTTTGTTTGTTTGTTTGTTTGTTTATGTGTATAGTGTTCTACCTGCATGCCAGAAGAGGGCATCAGATCTCTTTATAGATGGTTGTGAGCCACCAAGTGATTGCTGGGAATTGAACTCAGTACCTCTGGAATAGCAGCCAGTGCTCTTAACTGCTGAGCCATCTCTCCAGCCCTATTTTGGGATAACTTGATTCAATTTGGAAATACCTTTTCATGACTATTGCAGACTTTCTTTTTAAAAAAAGAAAAAGAATGGCTTTGAATCAGCAGGAAGTGAGTGGCTGCTATACACCTGGGAACAGCAGTTTAAGATACTGAATCTTTATGTTGCACTGTTGGATGCTCTCAGCACATTCTCTCCTCTAGCTTTGACTCACATCCACACTGAAAGATTCCCTGGTCCAGCTACACAGACTCATCAATGGGTGAGGAGACAGACACTGCTCTAAAGCCAACTCTCACAAAGCTATCAATTGGTTCATCAGTGGCTTCCAAAATGTGGCTTAGCAAATGGCTCTTTTTCTCACTCGTTTAGGAGGTGCTGGAATCCTCCTTGGATTCTTAGCATTGATTAGGATTTTACTTGCTATAAAATATGGATGCTCTAGAAGAAATGAAAACAAGCAAATTAGTAAAAAATATTCCAGACAGGATAAATTTTTTCCATGAATAAAAATTGCAACTGAAAATTTAAGTATGGTACGCTTATGTTGGCAAAGACAAGAAGTTGGATTTTTGTTAGTTTCTTATACTTATTCATCCATTCAAATAGTGTAGTTTCTATTGGCTGTAGTTATTAAGAAATATACTTAGAGTCTGACCCAAGACCCTAACCCTTCAACATCCAGCCACCCCTCTAAGCTCAGAACCAGGCTAGAGCTATATGCTCACACTCTCCTGCCAAGGCTGACTTGGATACTGACCCTGAGCCTTCTCTCTGTGTTGCTCCTCCAGGCCCACTCTTATGAAGTTTTGACAGAAGTATTGCTTGGAGTGGACCAATCCTTTGCTCTGAAACTATCATTAGTTCTCTCCTGTCCCCTTTAGTTGCAATTCTTTTACACTCCAAACAACCTTAGTTCTTCCCTGTGTGAATCTATTCTCATCTTGTCTCCACTAAATCCCTCTTCTCAGGGAATCCTGCCAAAGAGACGGCAGAAACAGGGCCTTCTAAACAAACCAGGGTAGATGCACATACAAACTCATAGGAACTGAAGCAGCATACAGAGAGCCAGAATGGCATTGTACCAGATGGAATCTTAAAGCTGAAACAGGTGGACATATGCCCACATCCCTAATCCAGAAGCTATTTTCAATTGATAACCACATGCAAAAGAAAAAGTAGTTCTCTCCAAAGAAGACTCACTAGGGATACATGCTATTCTTAAGGGAAGGCTATATGCGCAGCTGTAGATGGCCAAGAGAAAATGAACTCAACAACGTCTTTGGATCTCCTTTTTCTAATAATGTTGTATCAGGGCTTTTATTTTATTCTACTTTTGTTTCATACTTATTTGTTTATATCTATCCTATAGGTTTTTTTTAATGTATTATGGCTTCCGGTTTTGAGTTTGTATGGGATTCCTGAGTGTATGAATGAGTGTGTCTCTGCATTTCTGTCTGGTTCATGTGCCTTCCCAGAGCCCCTTTCTTTCCGTTTGTTTTAGCCTATTCTGATTTGTTTGCTGTTGTTCTATAGCATTTTATTTTAATATTATCACTTAGATGCATATTTATTTTCTAATAAGAGAAAGAAAGGGGGCAGGCCTGGATGAGAGGGGAGAGGAGATGGAACTGGAAAGAGTAGAGGGAGGTGAAACTATAGTTAGGATACACGGTATGAAGAATGTTTTTAATAAAAGAAAAAATGCTTAAACCTACCCTCCAAAAATAAATTTGGGTCTGCGTAGACTGTTCAGTGGTTAGCACTGTATGTTACTCTTGCAGAGGGCCAGAGTTCCATTCCCAGCATCCATATCACATAGTTCATAACTACCTGTAACTTTTTTACAGGGATAGCCTCCAAGGACACCCACACCCATATACACAGACACACATACATATACATAAGTGAAAGTAAAATTCTTTTTAAAAATTAAGAAGTAAGTTTGCACTATGTCAACAGAATGTCACAAGAGGCAAAAGACAACTTACTGGGACAGCTAATAGTGTTTACAAACAGTTTGCGGATAAATGAGCAGCCATACTGACAGGTATGAAATGAATTGCCCCTGATATGTTCCTACACAAAACTGAACTCAAACTAGAGCACAGGTTGAGAGGTGAGCTTATGTTGTAAGACTCATCAGTGAGAACAAACATACATATCTTTATGAACTTGGATTAGAAAATGGTTTCTTAGATATGATATTTTGATCACAAACAATAAAAGAAAAAAATCAGATTCACTGGACTTCAAGCTACAAAATATAAACACACTGAGTCACAAAACAAAAGAAAAAAATCATGAATGTGGAAAAAGAATTTGAGGGCAAGACTAGAGTTTGACAGGATATGAGAGAAAATAGAGGGGAAACTGAACTGACCCGAATGTATCATATACATGTGTAAGTGTGCCAAAGAGCAAATTTAATTAATAAGGCAGATAACGTTTAAAAATGAAAACAAACAACACTTGGGCTAGGGAGATGTCACAGTCAGTAAAGTACTTTTTTTGAGCAAACTTTGGAACTTAAGTATGACAAAGAACACACATTAAGAAGCTGAATGTGTTGATACATTCATGTATTACTGGCCAGTCAACCTAGCCTAGTCAGCGGGTTCAGGCCAATGAGAACCTGTCTCAAGAAAAAAACAGAAATAAAAACAAATAAACAATAATGAATAAACAAAAAATATACAAAAAATGAAAAAAATACACAAATAATGAATGAAACTTAAACTTGACCTCTGGCTTACACACACACACACACATTTTAAAAACATCATTAAAACATAAAAATATAATTCACAATAAATGAGTAAATAGGGTATCTGGTCATCTTCTTGCCAGAATATATAAAACAACTCTTATAAGTTAATGACAAAAATGGGAAAATCCAATGTTAAAATGAGCAAAGGATATCAATAGGTGTTCCTTCAAATGATATTTCCTAAGAGTAAGCAGACACAAAGATGTACAGCATCTTTAACTATCAAGGAGGCTGTCTCCACAGTGACATGAATTTTACATTTAGGGGATCGACGTAGCAAAGAGAATCAGTAACAGTGTTTAAGAGGATGCAGAGAGACTGAAGCCCTCCTACCCTGCTGGTGTACTTAGAAATGTGTTCAGTTTGGATGACATCTTGACACTTCCTCAAATCAATGAAACAAACATTTACTACGTGACCCGGCAATTCAATTTCTAGGTATACATCCATAGTGAATATTAATGTGTGACCACATTAAAGTATTATATTAATATCACGCAAGTGATGAGAGCATCATTATTCATAACAGCCTAAAAGCGGGAGCAGCTCAATTTTCTATCAAATTATGAATGAATAAAGAAGTTGAGATAGACTGATTTATTACTTGACAATAAAAAAGGGTCAGTGACATATGTATCCCATCACAAGAATACACCTTTAAATATACCAAATGAAACAGTTCACTGAAGATCTGATATTGTGTGTTTAATTTCCATGTAATATCTAGAATAGGAAAATACACAGTGATAATATTGTACATCTGTTTTTGTCCAGACTGAGATGAGAATGTACAGCAGCGGCCAATTGGTAATAGCTACAGGGTGTTTGTTTCTTTATTTTGAGTAGTGCAGTATTTTATCTGTGATTTGGTTGTGGCTGGAAAGGAAGCTCAGCAGTTGAGAGAATGTGCTCATCTTTCAGAGGACCTATGTATGCTTCCCACAACCTCTGTCAACTGGTTCACTACTGCCTTTAACTCTGGCTCCAGGTCATGTGAAACCCTATTCTGGTCTCAATGGGCGCCTACTTTCGCATGCACAATGCCTTCACAGATAAACACACACACACACAAACACACACACACAGAGAGAGAGAGAGAGAGAGAGAGAGAGAGAGAGAGAGAGAGAGAGAGAAATAATTAAAACAAATCTTTAAAGTTATGTTGACAGATGCTTAAATAACACCTTATTGAACTGCACATTTAAATGGGTAAGTTTTATATGTGAATTAAACCTCAACGAAATTATGAGATAAAACCTGCTTAGTCACTAAATTGTCCATCTGTCCTTCTAGAAGATTGCCTGAACTGAACAAACTTTTCTCAGCATCTGGAGTTTTAGAAGTCTAAGATCAAGTATCTGCATATCCTGTGGCATAATGGCATATTCTTCTTGCCTCCAAAATGATGCCCTTGAGGCATTTACTTCATCCTCATAGGTAGCTGGCTAAAGGCTACAAAACCTCTAATAGAAAGCCTTAATCTCTTTTGCAAGGGAGAACATCCGAGGCCTGATCACCTATTGAAAGTCTGACTCCTGACGTCATCGCACTGGTTGACCCGACCAATTGGCGGGTCCTAGTTATTCGTGGAGGCGAGGAGGACCGCAACCTGAAAGAAGAACAGTCGGTCGAGAGAGGGAAAGGACTCAAGCAAACATTTGCTTGTCAAGAGTCGTGTATTTGAACGTGAAATGCTTTTTTATAGTATGCTTTACAAGGGGAGGGGGTAAGAGGGGCCAGGTGGTGGAAAAGTACAGAATCTTCTTGGCCTGTGCCTGGAAACATGTCATGGTCTATACGGTACACTGCCTTGAATTATGATCTACCTGCTATTCTTCAGAAGATATGGTACACTGCTTTGAGTCTATCTGCAGCAGCCAGGCAGGATCTTGCAGGTGCCAAGCTGCAGGGGACATTGTGAAGGTGGGGAAAGGTAGGGGGTGAGGGTAAGGGCAAGGGTCCTGGCTTCTGGCATCTGGTG